TCTCCCAAGCAGTTCTCTGGAATCCCAGGGGTCTTTGACACCACAGTGCTAGTGAATTGAACCTGGTCAGCGGTGGGCGAGGTTGTCTCTTTCCAACCCTGAGCTGACTTTTGAGGCTGTGGATTCAGTGTCAACTTCTTTGCACCATTCTCCATTTCTCCACTTTCCACCCACCCACCTTCCTTCCTTCCTTCCTTCCTTCCTTCCTTCCTTCCTTCCTCCCTCCCTCCCTCCCTTCCTTCCTTCCTATCCAGAGTCAAGATTCCCCTCTTGTGACTACTTCATGTGTGGGGGTTCTTTGTGCATTAAAGTATAGTTTCATTTCCGGGGAAGAGCATTTATCATGGAAGTCAGAGTCTAAAGGTAAACAGAACTGCAATTAAACAAGTCTCCTGCAGAATTTTAAATTTCTGGGGGGAAAAAAGGTTGAAACAAACCAAGTGGAGAACTCAGAAGAAGAGAGGTCTGGCTGGCCTCTATGTTACATTTTTATGTGACCCTCTACCCTAACAGCAGCGAAAATGTATTTCTATAAACAGTGCTTATTCCCAGCTCACATACATATATGTATGTTCAGAGGTTTACGTATGTGTGAAGCATTCTGATCCCCTGCACAGTTCAAATAAGGACAAGATCCAATAGCAACACTTGAGTTCAATAACGCTGGTTTCCCAACAACACAATATAAATTTCAGTTAAGTAATAGCGAAACCCGGCAGCCTTAAAGGTTATCATGTTCTTTACTCAGATGAAGAAACTGAGACTCTAGCCAGTCAACTGAGGCCTTGTCCAAGCTACTTGTCCAACCTTACACAGATAATAAGAAGCAGAGCTTGGCTTTGAACTCTACATTCTAACTCTATGACCTGTGTCCTTGCCACAGTCTGTCACACCATCACCTCCCTCATACTGACCCACAGCACCTATAGCATCAGGCTGACAGCCACAGTTTGTGTTTAATACATCTATAAAGTCTTGGGCCTCAGGCATGATTTTTGTGTTATTAGCTCTTTCATCTACAGTGTTTTTTTTTGGGGGGGGGGTGTTCACATCTGGTGATGCTCAGGGGTTACTCCTGGCTTTATGCTAAGCAGTGCTTACTCCGGGTGGTGCTTTGGAAAACCTACAGGACCCTGGGCATTGAATCCAGGTCAGCCATGTGGTAAGCAAGTTCCCTACCTGCTGTACTCTCTTTCCAGCCTCTCATCTTCTCCATCTTATCCCCCTTGGGGATAAGGGAAAATTGTCCCACTAGGTTTGGGCATTTGAATAGCCAGAGCCACATGTATTTTTCAGTGATGACTGAATTAAACTGAATTGCAGACACGTACAAATAGGCATGGATCAGGCAGCAATATGGAGACAAGCTCGTATGGGCTGCAGAAGCAGGTACGCTGTGCTCTGTTCTGTTCTGTTCTTTCAGCCGCCCCTTTTGCCAGGCAGTCCAACAGAACGAGCAGGTCGGGTGGGCAGAGAAACCAGCTTGGCTATACGCACCAGAAGGAAACTTAGTTCTGCCGGCAGAAGACACTGAGCAGCTGCCAGTCAGGGGCCACAGATCCTTTCTGGATCCTGGGAAAGGCAGTGTTCCGTAGAGCAAAGGGATACCCGCTGGGAGTCCACAGCATCTGTGCTTCAGCCTTTGGGGAACAAACACACCTTACAGGCTCCATCCTCCAGGAGTCTCAGTGACCTGTGGTGCGCAAGCCCCATTTGCCACCTGGAAGCTCTGTAACTCACACCAGGACAGGTCCTGGTTCTGGCCTCTGCTGCAGGCTCTGGCCATTCATAGGAAGTGAGAAGGAGCCCCTTGCCCACACGCCTCGCCCAGCCTCAGCAAGTCAAGGCTGAGTCTCGGCAGAGTGCAGGTGGATCTTCTGGCTGTGTAGGCCTGACTTCCTTTCGGAATGGACAAGCCCAGACCAGCCATCTGCCAGACAGGAGCGGGATGGAAAGCTGTCATTTGAGTCCATGTCTCAACACACACAGGCAGGACCACAAGTAAGTGGCTGCCCCAGGCGAGACCACAATTGAAGTTGTGAAGCTTGCTGAGTCCCAGGTACCACCAATCTCAAGGGTGGGGCTGGGAGGGCTCTGTCTGAGGCCACCAACGATATAATTAACAGCGAAGAAAGAAGACCCTGTAGGAGGCAAGGAACAGGGACTGAGCTAGCATAGGAGACAGGATTTCTTCATCTGAAAGTTTGGAACAATCCAGTAACTGTGAGCCAAGTACACATCCCAGCTGTCATCAGCATCTAGAAGTACGTGTAAGAGAAGGGGAATTCTGGTTAGCAGAAGTTCTCTTGGGGAATGTTCTCCTTCTTTCCATTTTTCTTTCTCTGTCTCTTTCCCTAGTCCTCCCACCCTACCTCTCCCCTGCCCTCACTCTCTCACATACACAATTCATCAATTTCCTTATACTTTTCTCCTAGAGAGCAACGAAGAATATGACAGTGTTCACTTGTTGAGGCCTAAAGTATTGAGTGTCAGAAATAGAAGAGGTCAAGGTCATCCAACGATTGAGTGGGCTTGTGATACACAAGCACGGGTTTGGAATACTTTAAGCATTATCATCATTGGCTTCCCGCTTCTCCAAACACAACATCTTCTGAAAACAGAATCATGTACCACTCCTGCTTATGTTTGAATTTCAAGCATTTTTTTAATTATTATTATTATTTTTATCAAGCGTTTCTTATTCAAGAGTCCGGACAACTCCACATTGAAAGCAGAGACCCCTGCACCCCCCCACCCCGACTCCCCCCTCCGCCCCCCGTGGATCCCTCCCTACTGTTCCCCTGTTTGCCTATTTGATGTCAGTCCTTCCTACATTTCCCTGACATTCATTCCAATGCTTTTCTGTTTTATCAACTATATTCATGTTTTCTACACCTCCCTCCTTTCCTGGGTGTCTGTGAACCCAGTTCCAAGTTAACTGCCCCTATGCACTTCGGTGGGCATTAAAGAGCATGTGTAGACTCCAGGAAAGAGACATCTGCTGCACATGGCATAAGGATTATCATGTCTTTTGAAGAAAATAAGGACCATTAGGATGATAGAAAGTTGGTTTTAGATTCAGGGTGTAGTTTTGAATAAAGGAACTTGATAAGAACTTTCAACTCCCTGAGTTTCCCTGCTGGTATCAGCCTTTGTTACCTCAGGAAGATAGAATCATGGAACATGAAGATGCCTGCCTCTCCTTTTGATGAGTGATTATATACTAGGGATCAGCAGTGAAGTGGGTGGGAAGTCTCATGAGTTTTCAAGTTAGATATGAACTCTGGTGCTCTTCTGAGCCCCGGGTTGTGGAAGGTTCTTGTATGCAGTGGACCCCATGAAGTTATAAAGACTTGAGGATGGTGACCCCAGTTGGGTAGGTTTGACTCAATACACCTGCACTCTGTGAGACCCAAAGGATCATGTAAGAAATGATAGTGGGTGGAATAAATGAAACACAAAGTTCCTTAGCCACGGGGAAAATTGCTTTGTATTTATTTTCCTCAACCCACATGTGAAAACTCTTCAGTGTGAAAAACCCCAACCCTTCAACTCTAGATAAAACCTTTCTGGATAGCTTGCTGGGTGTCATGTTTGAAGTGTGATTCGTGGAATTCCTGGGTTTCTGCAATGAAATAAAAGGATGGACTCAAAGGGTTTTCCTTGATGATACCCTTAGCTTCCAATATTTCAAGAAATGTATTTTATGGTCACTCATTTTTGTTAAAAATATTGTGTGTGTGTGTGTGTGTGTGAGTGTGAGTGTGTGTGTGCACGTGTGCGCGCATGCTGGAAACTTAAGAAGAAACCATAGCAAACAGAAAAGCCACTTTGATGTAGCCAAGTCAGCAAGCTTCTTAGAGCAGGCTTCATCTGAGAGACATAAGCTTCTCAATGAAGTTGCAGCAATTTTTGATGCCTTTGCCTATGTTTGCGTATTTTTACTTTGAAGATGGAACAAATTACTCCAAACTAAATAATTTAAACCTATCGTTCCCAAAGAGTCCAAGTTCTTGTGTCTTTTACTCCTGGCTTCTCTTCTGGGGCTAAGCCATGCCATCGGAAGCTGCCTTTGTCACCAGCAGAACACTCCATCTGAATGGGTGTTCTCTTTCTCTGCTGTTCCAAGTTGAATCTGTTTGACACCCATCAGTTCCTAAGGTCACAGGCTCTGCCATTGTTCTGTGTGAAGTGCTCACTCCTCTTCTTCAGGAACAAAGAGAATCAGCTTCGGAGGATCCAGATTCTCCATCATGTGGGTGGAGGGTGTGGGGGAACCCCAGAATGTTGAGTGAAAGCCTAGCCAAGACCCATGAGGAGCCAGTGTCCAAACATTCATTTTCGCGCTCAAGCCATGGTTTGAAGTTTGGAAACAATGTCTTCAGTGACATGTAAAAATAGCTTCAGACTTGACAAATTCACCTCCCTCAAAATGACTTCCTTCAGCCTTCCATCAGTGACTGGATTTACGTGTGGATTGTTTAACCCTATGGTCCAATCAAAGAGGGAAGAAATATCTACAATTTTAAAAGAAGAAGAAAGCAAATCTTACCATAGTTTTGTACTTTCTGAATGATTTTTTGAAAAATTTTTGTTTATCGTTTTAAAAAATTTTCTATTTTTTTTAATTGAGTCACTGTGAGATACAGAGTTACAAAACTGATCATGGTTGGGTTTCAGTCATACAGTACTCCAATACCCATCCCTCCACCAGTGTACATTTCTGAATGTTTTTTTCTTTTTGGGTCACACCCAGTGAGGCACAGGGGTTTACTCCTGGCTTTACACTCAGGAATTACTCCTGGCAGTGCTTGGGGGACCATATGGGATGCCGGGGATTGAACCCGGGTTGGCCGCGTGCAAGGCAAATGCCCTATCCGCTGTGCTATTGCTCCAGCCCCCTGAATGTGTTTTGCCATCAGAGGTAAAGCATAAAAGTAAAGGTAAGACATAAATGTCATCAGGATAGGAACTGACGATTTGCGTTCTTATTAACCTAGGCCGGCACTGTGAGGTCCACCAGATGACTGGGAACTACATGTGGGACCCCACCACAAACAAGTCCTTTGACATTGGTGTCAACAAAGACAGCCTGATGCCCCTCTGGTGGAATGGATCAGAGCCTCTCTGGGTCACTCTGATGAAAGCCAAGAAGAAGGTGTACATGTACTACTGGCCAGGTGAGTGCGCTGATGGGCAGGCTCCTCCCACCTTCCAGGTCTCCTGTGAATTTCTGAAGACAGAATGCCCGTGTCCTGCTTCTAGATCCAGACCCGGTGTGAAACTGGAGTCTTTACTCAAGCTATAGTCTAAGGACAAGTCTGTTCTGAACTCACTTTTGACCTCTCGAACATACAAAGTCATCTTGGCAATGTTTCTGCCATATAGCATGCTTCTTCATGAATGCTCTTTTGGGTATCCAGGGGAGATTATATGTTTGTATATACAGGAGAGATTATAGGGTATAGGTTGCTTATTTGCAAAAGAGTTCAGTGTGCCACTTCTTAAAGATTATAAGCTTCCTGGCCAAATTGAAAAAGAAGGTTCAGGGGGCCGGGGAGTAGTATAGAAGTTAGGATGATTGCCTTGAACACATCCAACCTGAGTTTGACCACTGGCACCATGTGGTCCCCTGAGCGTCCCAGGGGGTACCCCCAGAGGCTCCTGAGCATGCTCAGGTATTGCCCTGGAGGCTCCCAACACAGATGAGGCAGCTGGATAATCCTGGCACCGCATGGGGGCACTCACCTTGAACCACCAACCCAGCCGACCTGGAATTACAGGTTAGCCCCTTTGTTATTCATATTCCTCCTGCATGTATCAAGGGGCACTTAATTACTGTTCTTACTGCCATGAGTTGAGCACCCCTGTGAACATCTCTGTCTGTTTGAGAGACTCTTGGGACACTCATGGTGGCCATCCTGTACCTTCCAGGAAGGAAGAAACGTTCTAGTCTTTGTGACTAGAAATAATTCTGTCCCTGCTTTTTCCCGTTGGTGGGATTTATTCTTTGTGCTTTCCCATGAATATGTCTGTCTATACTTTCCCCCTTCCCTTAATTCAGAATAAGTAAGACCACACTTGGCACTAAGAAGTAGTTATAAGGGGGGCATGGGAGAGGTAGAGGGATAAATAAGAGGCTTTACCCACGCGTCCTGGGACTGACAGGGAGGGCCAGATGCAGCCTCGCAGAGCTGGTAACAGGCAGGTTGCAGGGGCGGCAGAGATAGGGAGAAAGGGCATCAGCAGAGGCAGCTGAGGCAGCTGAGGCTGAGTCACAGATGGCCCACGTGGAGGGGGCCCTCAAGCAGCCATTTAGAGGCTGCCCATTAAAGGTGGGTAAGGGCTATGGGTGCCCTGCGCTGTGCCAGCAGTCAGATGTGGGGGGCGCAGTACAGGCAGATGGAGACCAGAGAAAGCATGCAGGGTAGATATCTACATTCAGTTGCAGGGTAGACACCCGAAGGCCAAGGCCAGCTGCATGGACTGAGAACAAGGCTGTGGGTTGGCTCTGCTGACAGATACCTCTGGGGTCTTTCAGAAGATCTAGGGCCAATCTCCCCAGCAGCCCCTTCTGACTGACATGAGACAAAGCTTTTAGCAATGGGAGGCACTCAGGATGGAGGGCAATGGAGATGACTCTTTCTGTTGTGCAAAAGCTGAAGATGGCAAGTGGGTGCCCGTCAGTCTTACCAGAGAGGAGCTGAAATATGTGCTCGGCTGTGTAATGAGGGCTGCACCCAAGGGTGCTCCTGCACGCAGAGGTTGCCATCAGGAGCATCATTTTCAGCACATCAAAGAACCACTGCATCAGCAAGGGAGACTCTGGGTGGACATGCTGTCTCTCTTTCCCCTTGGGACCATCAGGAAGAGCGTCAGCCCCAATGCCACGAGGACCTTCTTCCATGCATCTGGCCAATTTATCTTTCTATGCTCTTCAGTCTGAGTCCTTGACCCACTGAAGAGCATCTCTCTCGTAACTTCGTCCCAGACCCCATGGGCCCTCTCCTGTTGCTGGCATTTTGGACAATCACGGATGGATGCCAATGTCCATGGCAAGGTGGGGAGAGTGCCAAAAAGGGGAGATGGTATTTTATTTTGTCTGTATTATGATGGAGTATTTGCCATTATTTTTCCAGGAGCACCAACCATCTCCATGTTTTTTTTTTTTTGTAGGAGTACTGCTATTTATTCAGCCATTGATTAGCTGATTGAATTGGGCATGAACTCCACCTTAATTTTTTCTTTTTATATTTATTTATTGAATCACTGTGGGAAAAGTTACAAGCTTTAGGTTTAAGTTTAGGTCATACAATGATCAAACACCTTTCCCTTCACCAGTACTCATTCTTCACCACCAAGAACCCCAGTATACCCCCCTCCCGTCCCTCCAAATGCCTGTGAGGCAGATGATTTCTACTTAACTCTTCTCTACATTGATTACATTCATTATTTCAACAAAAGATGCACCATTATTGTTTAGAATTTCCCCCCAAACAATCAGAATTGTTGAAAAGGCATTGTGAAATATTTTGTTTCCTATAGTGGGTTATGAGAATCATATAATTTCACGCGGCCATGATTTTGGATTTCTGCAAAGAGTCAGATAATTACGAGATTTGTTTCTATGTGTCTGGTGTTATGGCCGTGCCGGAGAGCCGCTCGTGGGGGGCAACTCATGACCTCGGTAGGGCATGAAGGACGAGCTGGTACCGCCCTTCTTCCCATGCCCCATCACCACAATACACTCTGAGGTCGTGGCCACCTTGCTGGCGGGGGGGTGGGGGGGAAGGCGGAAGGGAGCAACACCCTTTCCCTCCTGGGGAGGTCTGGCACCGTAGTTTAACACATAGTCCATTCACTTTTCTGCCGCAAGTTGCCGGGCTCTGGATTAAGTCCTTTTGCCTCTGGAGCCATGGCCGTGCCAGAGAGCTGCTCGTGGGGGGCAACTCATGACCTCAGTAGGGCATGAGGGACGAGCCGGTACCGCCCCCCTTCCCATGAGACTGCAGTGGCCCCATCACCGCCGGCTCATACCTGGCTTTCCAATAAGCTCTGAGCCGGCAGCCACCTTGTATGCAGTCCAGATGCATTTCTGCCAAAAGCCGCTGGGTTTTGAGATTTGTTTCTGAGTCTCTGGGATCATGGCCGTTAATCAGCTTGATCAGGAGCCAGAGAGGCCATTTGTAGGCGGTGACTTGGGATCTCGCTAGGATGGGGTAGAAAGGGCCGGTTCCACACCCATCTGGTGAGGCCCCGCGTGTCTTGTCACTGCAGGCCCAAACCTGACTGTTCACTGGTCTCTGGAGGATGGCAGTCACCAGGCTGCCAAGGGGAAATCTATTCCCACCTGGAGTGACCCAGCCCCAGTGACCTACTGCAGGAACAGGACGCATTTCTGCCAAAAGCCTTTGGGTTCCTAGATTCATTTCTGAGTCTCTGGGATCATGGCCGTTAAGCAGTTCGATTAGGAACCAGAGAGGACATGCCTCCAATTATATAGCTGAGCCGGAGGTGGTTTGTGGGTGTGTCTCCCACATACCTAATCTTTGGCAGTTTACTTTCTTGGCAAACTTTGCCCCAAGTTTTTGGGCTATGTCCAGAGGCACAGCAGCAATTTTGGGGTATCTGAAAGTCTGACGGTGCCATCAGGCTGCTGATGCACTCGCCTCACGGGTACAGATTGACCTGCTGGTGGCACCATACCCCCAATTTTTTTTTTCATTTTTTATAATTTTATTTATTGAATCATTGTGAGAGCAGTTACAAAGCTTTTGGGTTTAAGTCTTGGTCATACAATGAAACACCCGTACCTTCACCAGTGCCCATTCTCCACCACCAAAAACTCCAGTATACTTCCATCCCAAACCCTCACCCTACATGTGGGGCAGATGATTTCCACATTACTCTCTCTCTCTACTTTGATCATATTCAATATTTTGAGACCAGAACCACCATTATTATTTGGGATTTTACCCCAACACTCAGATCTGCTGAAAAGGCAACAGTAGACAACTTGTTTTCTATTGCTGGTTAGGAATAACACATGATGTCACGTGGCTGCAGTAGTGGCCACTCGATTTCAAAATTCCGAAATTTTAACACTTAAATATAGAGGGATTTCTGCCAAAACCTGCTGGGTTCCAAGATTTGTTCCTGAGTCTCTGGGATCATGGCCATTAAGCAGCTTGATCAGGAGCCAGAAAGGCCGTTCATGGGCGGCGACTCGGGGTCTCGTTGGGATGGGGAGGAAAAGGCTGGCTCCAGCCCCAACCCATGAGGCCCCATGTGTCTTGCCACTGAGGGCCCAAACCTGACAGTCCAGTGGCCTCTGGAGGATGGAGGCCACCGAACCGCCTAGGGGGAGCAGGTGAAGGGACAGCACCCTTTCCCCCCTGGGGTGGCCCTGCGACAGTAACCTACTGCGGGGTCCAGATGCATTTCTGCCAAAAGCCACTGGGCTTTTGTTCCAAGATTTGCTTCTGAGTCTCTGGGATCATATCCATTAAGCAGCTTGATCAGGAGCCAGAGAGGACATTCATGGGCAGCGACTTGGGGTCTCGTTGGGATGGGGAGAACAGGGTCGGCTCTACCCCCATCTCGTGAAGCTCCACGTGCCTTGTCACTGAGGGCCCAAACCTGATTGTCCAGTGGCCTCTGGAGGATAGCTGCCACCAGGCTGCCAGGGGGAACAGGCCAAGGCACGAAACCTATTCCCACCTGGGGTGGCCCAGCGCGACCATCTCAATGTTTGAATCACAGGACAGCTAAACACTCCCAAAGTTCTTTTGCATGTAAAAATTATGCTGGCCCTTAAGGATGAGAAGGGTCCACTTATACCCATGGATTCACAATTCAAGAGCTAATATGATGTGACAAATCCTCCTTACTGCCACTTTATAGTGTTAACTATCAGACGGAAAGAAACTCAGCCCCCCTTGAGATTTCCCTAGAGATCCATATGAAGCATAGAAAAGATCTGGCCATTCCGAAGTCTCATTAGAAATTGGATGAATAGGGGGTATGGTGGTGCCAGCAGGTCAATCTGTACCTGTGGGGCGAGTGCATCAGCAGTCTGATGGCGCCTTCAGACTTCCAGATACACCAAAATTGCTCCTGTGCCTTTGGCCAGACCCCAAAAACTTGGGGCCAAGTTTACCAAGAAATTAAATGGCCAAAA